TATTGATTTGCTTTAAAAATTTTATAAGCAGCTATTAAATTTCTTAAATAGAATGTCTTTTTATCTATAAAAAATGATTTGTTCTTTTAATTGTTGTATTTACATTGAATTTAAATAAGATAATTAATTTAAATAGAGATTTATCTTTAAAATTAAATTTTATTAAAATAAGGAGGTTCAATCTATTTATAGTGAGATTGTAATTTTACTAATTAAGCAAGATTTCTGGAATAAAACAATATTATCATTAATTAAACCTATTTTTAGAAATTTAATAATTATGAATATAATTATCTTTGAATTCAATTAGAAGGCTAAGGACCATCCTTGTTTTCAAAGTACATGTACTCAAACATGATGGTGGCTGCTAGAATTAATGCTTTGTCTTCTTTTGATGCATTTTAAGGGAATACAACACTTATATTATCAACAAAATCAGCCCAATTTTGACAACAGCCTCTAACTTTTTTTTTCATAGGAGCAACAACCTTAAATAATACATTTAATATATATACTTCTCCATTAGGAGATTTAATATCAAATTCTACATGATTACATTAATCACCACAAGGACATCTGCACCAAAAATAACATTAGCAAATACTAGCCTCTATTATATATTTCAATTTGTCCTCAAAATCATAAATATGACAACCAAGTCGACAACAATAGAAAGGATTAACAATATAACCTAAATTTTTATTTTATCCATTTTCAACATATTAAACATCTAAACGTGGTCTAAATTAATAAATGAATAAACCATTCATACCTATTCAAACAGAAACAGGTGCATGTGTATTTTCGATCATATTTAAAAATGATACGATCTGAGTTCTCCTAGAACAATTAATCTGAATTTGGTTAAAAGTCTTTGCATCCATAATTATTAACAAACATTTCAAATGGTCGAAAATTTGGACTAATTTTAAATGAAAAAATACCTTAATGTCAACCTTGCACAAGCTGATGATTTTTCTTTACATTTGAATAACTCTTTTTGCTCTATTTATTCGCCTTAATCATTTGCTGCAAACACCTTAAAAACATTTGGAGTCTAAAACCCTTATGATAGGGTTAACCAATTTACCTATCATGACTTAAAAAAATTCGAATCTCTATTAAATAAAAATTCCAGCCTAGCTACCTAATATATCTAAGCAGCTTGCTTCATTTGAACTTTATGCATAATCAGCCATTTGATAAAAATTGTTTTATCCAATGCTGTCATTTGTGTTAAGAGGGGACTACATCTTTTGAAATGAATTAGATATTTTAATATAAAATTCTAATATAAGAAGCTTTTAAGTTAATAATGACTCATAGAGTTCTATATTATAAATAGACTAATGTATCTCCTTATTTAAGAAATTTTTACATTAAATTTCTAATTATAAATTCTATGGTTTCACTTTCTCTTAATTCTAATTATCAATTATTTCCTTCCATCTAGTAAATTCTTGTTTGAGTCAAATTTAATAAATTAAAATATTTTATTCTATATAAATAATACATTAATTCTTCAAATATATTTCCAAAATTTTATTAGATATATTGTAATCAATAAAATTTTTGAAGATTTCTTTGTCATCTACAAAAGTCTCAGTATTGCTCTCTCAAGGAATAATCAAATTCAATAAAAATAAATGTTGTTATTTTTTAAATAAATTCATATATATGTAGATATAAATCAGAGAATCTGATTAAATTAATGAACTAAAACTATTAAAATTAACGTATTTTATCAATTTGTCTTTAATAATTTTACCAAAAGAAAATCTGATCTTAGTTTTGAATTATTTATTGATTTTTATCAACATTCTATAAGAATTGTGTATTATTTAGAGCTAAAACATTAAATGAATTGATAATTGAAGTATCTTCTTCATATTCTGTTTCTTACTTTAATTTAGTTATATCAATAGTTTTCTTAATAGTATGATCTTTTTTTAATTTTGTTATTAGAGATACAATAAAAAAAAGTCATATCAATAATCTGGGATGGAAAATTTTTTTGAAGTAATCAATAACTAATTGAATTTTTTGAATACTCAAAGTTAAAATAAAAGCAAAGGTCTAAGTATTTAATCAATAGTTTTAAGATTTAAATAAAAAAATTTTATCAAAACTCTATAAGATTTATTCTAATCTATTGAATTTTACAATTTGTGTTTAATTTTAAATTGTTAAACATATAAGTTTGATTTCAAAATAAATTTTTGATTTTGATCAAATAAAATTCAATATCAGAATTGATTAAAATTAAATTATATGACTCTTCAACAACCTGATATTTCGACTAAAATTAAACTCTTTTTTGATAATTGCCTTCTTGTTATAAAATGTATGGATCTTTATTTTAAATATAAATGATCTTGCCTAATAATATTAGAAAAGTAAGGATTCTTATTATTAGAATATGAAAATACATCCTGATTATTATCCACATTCTAATCTTAATATACCTCGTATTAGATTACATTTAATGAAAGATAAAATTAAGTTAATATGGATAAATTTAGTTAGAGTAGTTGTATTCTCCTATGTCATAATTCAGTGAACAATAGGAATATTCATATATTAAATAATGGTAGATGTAGAATTTATGTAATTAAGAATATATTTAAAAAATAATTCATAATGCAATTGATGCAGTTGCCAACATGGTTGTAATGATTCCTATTTTGAATATGAAATTAAGCATCTTTTCATGTACTTATTAGGAAGTAACATTCTTTTTATGATGTTCCCAATTCTTTAATTATAAATCCATAATTTCAAACCACAATTTAGGAACCCATGCCAAAAGTATACAAACTGTATATCCATGTGGTAATTAAGGACTCTCTTCATATGAACATAAAGTCTAATATGATTTATAAGGATTTTCATGATGATCTGAATGTCTTTATAATTTAAAGAGTAAGTAATTAGATAATCTATGTGGAGCATTCCAGCTATGACGAATATCAACTTTTTCATATTTTCCAGGTTCTATCTCTTTTCTACTTAAACCATAATGTTCGATATAATTAATAGTTTCTAAATAAACAACACTATTGATCACAGTTCCTAAGAAATAAACACATCCCATAATGCCAAAGTAATAATAAAATATACAAGGAATAATAAAATATGAAAAAGTATACCTAGAATATAATTAAATTAATTACCATATCATTCTATTTTATATTCTAATGACTGATCCATATTTCTTTGATACTAGATCTGCTTCATAATTCCAAGCTGATAGATATGAGCCTTTTATAGTTTAAGGTAAGAAATTCCATATCTTTTGTCCTTTTAATGAAGATGCTGGATCTTTAGGAGTAGCAACATGTCTATGATGTCCATGAATATGTTCTATAGCAAAATGGATATATAGATTTCTAGCTAAGGTTAAAGTTCCTAGAAATTTATCTAGAAAATTATCCTTATGAAACAACTCATGAGCTATATTGATGTTTGAGGCTGCCAAATTCCCACATAAAAATATTATACCTAACTTATTTAATATCTATATCTCATTGTTTAAAAGGAAATTTATCATCCAAACTAAACTTATCCAATCAAAGATGACACTTGAATATAATGGAAGCTTAAATTTCATCTCTTACTCTAATTTCCTAAATTTAATCTTATATTTTATTTACATCTATTCATCCTTTGTTGGATTACGAAGATCTAATGAAAAGAATTCATCCAAAAAAGGAATTAAGGTATAAACTATCCAAATTGCTATCCAAGCATTTTCGAAGTATGAAATCAATATCATAGCCATTGTATACAAAAATGGAATCGTATAGTATTGATAACTACTAAATAGAAGGGAGTCATCATTGAAGATCTTTATTTTGCTGTTTATCATAAGTGTATTTTTAATATTATTATATTATGACGTACAATTTTTGGAAGTTGAGATAATAATTTGTTCTAAAAAACTGAAATCAATTATAAAAGTATTTATATTTTCTAATTATGCTTTTTAATTTAATTATAAATTTTATATAATTAATCTATTTATAGTTATTATTAATGCCTTTCCATTTCTAAATTTTAAGAAGAAATCCATCATCAAATATTCCCTTTATTAGCAACCAAAATTTATAACCTAATCATTTAATTCAATTATTCATTATATATCAATTATATATTTTGAAATAGGATGCATATTGAATATGTGAATATCAAAAGTAAATTAATTATTGATAACAAAATTCTCGATATATTATTCTTGAGAAATAAATTAATAAAATTATTAATTTGATATTTAAGAATAATACCAAATATAAACGAATAAAATTGATTCTAATCAATAATTAACTGCATAATCAACGATTAAGTAAAGAATAGATAACATAAAATTTATAAGTTTTAAATGAAATATGTATAAAGAAGAAAGAAAAATAGATAAAAAATAAGAATTACTTTAAGAATACTTGCTCATCTCTACTAAATAATTTTATTGTAATTAAGGTCAAATTAAAAAGTAAATCTTATAAAAAATGATTAATTTATTACATTAGGAATATTTTAACTATTATTTTTGTAATTATTAATCAATAATTAAATCCTCCTCTATATTNAAAAATAATTCATAATGCAATTGATGCAGTTGCCAACATGGTTGTAATGATTCCTATTTTGAATATGAAATTAAGCATCTTTTCATGTACTTATTAGGAAGTAACATTCTTTTTATGATGTTCCCAATTCTTTAATTATAAATCCATAATTTCAAACCACAATTTAGGAACCCATGCCAAAAGTATACAAACTGTATATCCATGTGGTAATTAAGGACTCTCTTCATATGAACATAAAGTCTAATATGATTTATAAGGATTTTCATGATGATCTGAATGTCTTTATAATTTAAAGAGTAAGTAATTAGATAATCTATGTGGAGCATTCCAGCTATGACGAATATCAACTTTTTCATATTTTCCAGGTTCTATCTCTTTTCTACTTAAACCATAATGTTCGATATAATTAATAGTTTCTAAATAAACAACACTATTGATCACAGTTCCTAAGAAATAAACACATCCCATAATGCCAAAGTAATAATAAAATATACAAGGAATAATAAAATATGAAAAAGTATACCTAGAATATAATTAAATTAATTACCATATCATTCTATTTTATATTCTAATGACTGATCCATATTTCTTTGATACTAGATCTGCTTCATAATTCCAAGCTGATAGATATGAGCCTTTTATAGTTTAAGGTAAGAAATTCCATATCTTTTGTCCTTTTAATGAAGATGCTGGATCTTTAGGAGTAGCAACATGTCTATGATGTCCATGAATATGTTCTATAGCAAAATGGATATATAGATTTCTAGCTAAGGTTAAAGTTCCTAGAAATTTATCTAGAAAATTATCCTTATGAAACAACTCATGAGCTATATTGATGTTTGAGGCTGCCAAATTCCCACATAAAAATATTATACCTAACTTATTTAATATCTATATCTCATTGTTTAAAAGGAAATTTATCATCCAAACTAAACTTATCCAATCAAAGATGACACTTGAATATAATGGAAGCTTAAATTTCATCTCTTACTCTAATTTCCTAAATTTAATCTTATATTTTATTTACATCTATTCATCCTTTGTTGGATTACGAAGATCTAATGAAAAGAATTCATCCAAAAAAGGAATTAAGGTATAAACTATCCAAATTGCTATCCAAGCATTTTCGAAGTATGAAATCAATATCATAGCCATTGTATACAAAAATGGAATCGTATAGTATTGATAACTACTAAATAGAAGGGAGTCATCATTGAAGATCTTTATTTTGCTGTTTATCATAAGTGTATTTTTAATATTATTATATTATGACGTACAATTTTTGGAAGTTGAGATAATAATTTGTTCTAAAAAACTGAAATCAATTATAAAAGTATTTATATTTTCTAATTATGCTTTTTAATTTAATTATAAATTTTATATAATTAATCTATTTATAGTTATTATTAATGCCTTTCCATTTCTAAATTTTAAGAAGAAATCCATCATCAAATATTCCCTTTATTAGCAACCAAAATTTATAACCTAATCATTTAATTCAATTATTCATTATATATCAATTATATATTTTGAAATAGGATGCATATTGAATATGTGAATATCAAAAGTAAATTAATTATTGATAACAAAATTCTCGATATATTATTCTTGAGAAATAAATTAATAAAATTATTAATTTGATATTTAAGAATAATACCAAAT